CACAAAAGTTCATTTAATCAGGTTGAACCTATGTAACTTACTACGTATGAATGTATGTTGCTTACTCGATAATTCTCAGGTTGCTTTTGGTGTGGACTTAGACCTGCTGAAGACTAGTACACCTTTCCCTAAAGCCATCGAGACATGTCTAAAGGGGATGGTGTACAGTATCGAAGACATATTTTTTCAGGTATGACTTGACCGCAACAGTGTATGGAGTTAATTCCGTGAACATTCTATAAACTGTCTAACATCTTAAAAACTTTCATTCCCAGTTCAATCCAAAGAACAGACCATTCATTAAAGAAGTGAGGGAAGCGTGCCGCCTGCTGCGCACAACTGGGGCTCAGTGGATCCATGAAAGAAAGACTGCCATGGAAAATGGCGATGACGTTCCTAAGGACATCCTCACACAAATTATCAAATCTGCTGGCCAAGGTTACCGTCCCTAAAGTCCAGCAAACAGTAGTTTCTGCTATGGATAAAACAAAGCGTAGAAGTACACGATGTTGAGAATAATTGAACAAAAAGTTAAGGTGCATATAAAAAAAAAACATAAAGCACAATTATTTCAATATTAACTCAACAGACTAATAGATTTTCAGAGCACAAGTGCAAGTTTGTCTTACTAACTGTTTCCAAACAGTACACTCCAGAGAGATGAGATAATGTTCATACATCTTGATGACTAGCAATCTTCCATATACTAGTTTATATGTTGATACCATTTCCTTCTCATTCCAGAGGACAGCATGACTAAAGAAGATGAGGAGTTCATGTTGGACAACTTTGTGACATTCTTCATTGCTGGCAAGTCTCTGTTATGTCTGTGGTGATGTGTGAAATGCTTCAAAATAAACATGTTACTCTACTTCCTTTGTAGCAGAAAGTCATACTAACAAAGTAAAAGGAACATTTCACCCAAAAGTTCAATAATGTGTGGGCTATCCGAGTTCACAATAATGTATACACTATAATGTTAACTGTTGTTCCATCCACATGGGCATAAACTACATTTTCTTACAATTTCCAGGTCTTTTCTTTAGCTTAGACAGAATTTTGCTCTATTTGAAATCAATGTCATGATTAATTTCAGCATTTATAACATTTTAGGACAAGAGACAACAGCTAATCAACTGGCTTTTTGCATCATGGAACTTGCAAGACATCCTACTATACTTGAGAAGTAAGAACTCAGAATGCAGCAAAATAAAACTTTCACAATAAATCTGTCGAAGGATGTTTTTTTTAAATTGTGGGGTTTTTGTCAGAGTGAGGCAAGAGGTGGATGATGTCATCGGGTTGAAACTGGACATAAGCTATGACGACCTGGGTCAGCTGATCTATCTCTCACAGGTACAAGTCTTGACACTAGGATAAAATATGGTTCAGCTTTTCAGGACTGTTGTTCACTCACATATACATTCATTCATTTATTTACCTCCCTCCAGGTGCTAAAAGAGACTCTGAGGATTTACCCGACAGCCCCAGGTACATCTCGTGAGCTTCCTGAAGACATGGTCATCAGTGGTATCCACATACCCGGAGGATGCATATGTATTGTGAGTCATTCATTTTTGAATGCGTTTGTACCTCCGAATCCAAAAGGGTTTTATACAGTATTGTGCTTGTTTTACATACATAATGGACAATCGGCACTTCCCACTTAAAAATACATGACAAAACAACACTTTTTACAAATATACTTAGCTGTCAAAATGTGCAATACATTTCTCAGTTCAGCTCCTATGCGACTGGCAGAATGGAGAAATTCTTCAAGGACCCACTGACATTTGATCCTGACAGATTTCACCCAGATGCTCCGAAGTAAGTCTTGCCATGTTAGAGCATTGCCACAGAGGACACAAGGAAATGGACTATATTAACTGAAGTTGTCGCTTATCTGTTTTGCAAGGCCTTATTACTGCTACTACCCCTTTTCCCTGGGTCCACGCTCCTGTCTGGGACAGAACTTTGCTCAGGTGCGTGGTGATAAAAGTGCCTGTAAATAATCAAAATATTCACATAGGCACACACAGTAACAACATACTGAATTAGTCTAATGGTTGATGTTGTGTTGTCAGATGGAAGCTAAGGTGGTGATGGCCAAGCTGCTCCAGAGGTTTGACTTCACTCTTGTCCCGGGACAGACCTTTGACATCCTGGACACTGGCACACTCAGGCCAAAGAGTGGAGTGGTGTGCACTGTCAGTCACAGGAATGATAAGAAATAGATGGTCATACAGTACCATAGCATAAGAACAAACCATAACTGTCCATGTGGTGAAACTGGGTTGTTGAGTTGCTGAAACCAGCTAACCAGCTTACAGCAAAAAGTGCATCATAAGTTCTATTTTTTTTAAAATAATATTTCTTTATTCTTTGTAAATAAAATAATATCAGATTAAATTCAGTGCCCAGTATATTCAGTTGAAATGGTGATTATGGTAATGATGATTATTCCCTTTCTGGGTAAGTTACAGTATCATTCGCTCTTTAATTTTGCTGAAATAACCATTTAATTCTGTGTAATTGCACTTTTAATACCACTGAGGCAGTGAACCTTTTGTCCTTTTAAGGCTAATATAAAATACAGAATATGCAATTAATAATGATTTTTACTGATGCAAAAGTAATTTTGTTACTTGAATATACTGATGATGAATTACTATCTGATTTCACTCAGACTTTGCGTACTTTTGGCCATTACTGACGGCGTACACAAGAGGGCGCTGTTACCTGACAAAGAAATTTCTGCAGTACCTGTTAAACTATAGTCTCTCAGTCATGTCAGAGTGATTTCGGGGGGTTGTTATAATTTTTGTAATACAAGATTGTTAAGATGTAGTGGAAGCTGATATTAGTATATTGGGGTTATTTTGCATTTTGAAAGAACAGAAATTAGGAAAATTATGGCTACAAATGTTTCAGGATAGAGAGTTGTTTAATAAATGTGTACTTGAATGTAGTAAAATATTTTATAATATCCTTGCTTTAGTCTAATGCTCTTTATTTTATTTTTAAAGAATTTTGTCCCAGTCCTGAGCTCCTTTTTCTTTAAGAGGGCTGAGCTTGAGCCTTGTGAGGCTTCACCGGACTCTTCATCTACCTGCTGCCCATGGAGTCCGCGCTGAAACTCAAAGAGTGTTATAAATGAATATTCAGTGTACTGCCGTGTCAAATGCTCGACGGACGTTTTTACGTGGTTGCTGTACCGGAGCACTTAACGAGCGTCTCTCCACTTGTTGTGGACTACCCTTCATACACTATAACGTTACACTCAGCAGGACTTTACTTACCAAAATGGCAGTTTTTCAACTACTTTTGAGCTGGACTTCGCAGGCGTTTATATTTCTGTTCTTTCTGACTTTCATTGCGTTTCTTGGTTGTTGCTTGTATCTTAAATACATTCATATGAAATATGACCACATACCCGGACCACCGAGAGACAGGTATCCTACGTTAAGTGGGTTGTTGTTTAACTAATGTTAGCCCTAGTGCATGCTAACGTTTCTTATTTTCATATGACTTAGCCTTAGTAGGCAAACACTGAAACAATTGTGTTGACATTCACTTACCTGACACTTTGTTTTTCTCGTCAGCTTTTTCTTTGGGCATACACCGACGATTTTGAGAATGATGAAAAATGGCGAAGTTGCACACGATAAATTTCTGGAATGGTAAGCACGAGCAAAGTTTATACATAACTACTATAATGTCGCTAGCTTGGTGAACGTTAAACACTTACAGGCGTAATGGGAAAAAAATGTCAACTCAGAGCAAACTCCACTGCAAATACTGTGAAGTTATGGCGTAGCGCCTGGGCTGCACTGCAGTAACACATAAACTAGCCAACACCCTATATGATACATTGTTTGGTTTGACATTTGTTTATTAGCGTAGTGGAAAAAGGTAAACTCAGAACAAATTTCATTGCAGACACCAGGGTGTTGCTAGACATAAAGCTTCACTGGGGCACAGGCCTCCATATCTCAAGTTGCACAAGTTTTGTGCTTCTGCCTGCTGCCTGAATAAAATGTGCTGTACATTGTGCTATGTAAACTTGTCTTGCAAAAACCACTATTCCACTGCCATGCTGCTGCTACTGAGACTGAAACATCTACTGGTAAATGTAAAATGTAGAGATATTACTCTTTATCAAAATGTTTATTTAAGAACATTCCCAACATGTTTTATGGCGTAATGGTTTGGTCCTGTATTGCGTATGTCTTTACATTCTTCTGCAAATTGTTTGGTTTGTAAATTGTTTTGTTAGGCTTAATGTGTATAATGTGCTAACATGTATGCTTTTATATTGATGATGTAGGTTGTGTTTAAGTTGTTGTTAAATCAGTGAGTGTGTTTTTTTTGTGAAATATAAGAGTATAAAATTACTCTTCCTGATCCCACATATGTATGCACTTTGGTTCTGGATTGTTATGACTTGCAGCTGTCCAAAGCCCGTGCTGTTTTCCAGATAATATTATTTTACAATCTGCAGCTGTCTGCAATAAAAGTAGAGTTTCTCATGCAAACATATGGGCATAATAAAGAAAAAAAGTGGGACGGCACAAAGGAGTTATTACATCATAGAGTTTTTATACACCTATAAAAATCATCTGGCTTTACTGGTACAACCAGGGATGTGCTGTGTTTAAACTGGGCCGTGAGATAGATACATTCGCATACAGTTTCAGGCTGAGACGAGAGCATTGACCAAGAGAGAGCAGGGCCTTGCACTCATAGCGGCCAGGTGTGAAGCTTGTTCTTATGGCCTCACAGCCCCTCGCCAGTGTGTCTTGGCTGTGTGGGACTTTACTCATATAAGTTTTTTGTGTGGATGCTGTAAAGCAGGGGTGGCCAATTCCAGTCCTCGTGGGCCGTTGCCCTGCTTGTTTTCCAACTATCCCTGCCTGACCTGCTGCTGATTACAGTCAAAAGCTGGAAGATACCATCTTAGATGAAAGTGGAGTGAGGAAAGATAAAGTGAATTGGTATCTTCCAGCTTCTGACTGGTTGAACACACCTGAGCCAGGTAATCAGCAGCAGGTCAGGCAGGGATAGTTGGAAAACAAGCAGGACCGGGCCCTCGAGGACTGGAATTAGCCACCCCTGCTTTACAGCATCCACACTCCTGTTATTTATTTATTATTGTATGGATGCTGATTCAGCATCCATACTATGTTATCCTATTCTTTATTTTTCTTATTATTCTGGTTTCTTCCGTCTGTTTTTGCCACTTAATTTCTTCAGCATACTTTCAACTAGAAAAACCGTTGAGGTATCAAAATGTTCAGCTCTTTAAGGCAGGGGTGTCAAACATACGGTCCGCCAAGGGGTTCAATCCAGCCCGCAGGATAAATCTGAAAGTGAAAAAATGCAATGAGACATGAACTTGAATTTATTTTAAATAAACTACTATTCCTAAATTGCGCACTGTTTTAGACGTGGAACAGCTGGAAGAAGAAGAAAAAACAATGCTGAGATAGACACAGCTAATGTTCAGTGATTACTACGATACATCTACTTACTTTTGTACTCGCCTTCACACCCTCATTAGCCAAAATGTCTTTGTCAAAAAAGAGAAAAGTGGATGCCGAGTGTAGAGTTTTCCAAGAAAAATGGACCGCTTCCTATTTATTCACAGAGGTGAACGGGAAACCTGTGTGCTTGGTGTGTATGCAACACGTGTCCGTGTTCAAGCAATATAATATTCGGCGCTACTATGATACTCAGCATGGTGAAAAATACGACAGCCTGCAAGGACAACTGAGAAGAGAGAAGATAAATGAATTTCTGGTGGGTCTGAAGAAACAGCAGTCTGTTTTCACTCAGAGCTGAGAGGTCAATGATGCAGCAGTAAAAGCCAGCTACCTAATTGCTAACGAAATAGCATTAGCATCAAAGCCGTATAGCAAAGGCGAGTTCATCAAAACATGCATGCTGAAGGCTGCACAACTTGTATGTCCCGAGAAGCGACAAGCTTTTGCCAACATCAGCCTGACGAGGAGTACTATTGCAGAGAGGATTTTGGAACTATCTGCAGATTTGGACAGCCAACTGAAACACAAAGCTAGGTCATTTATTGCATTTTCTGTTTCATTTGATGAGAGCACTGACATTACAGACGTTGCTCAACTGGTTATATTTATTTGTGGAGTTGATGAGACACTGGCCGTCACAGAGGAGTCCATCTATGATGGACACCACGACAGCAGAGGACATTTTCAGCTCTCTCGTTTGTGCGTTGGACAGAGTCGGAGTAGACTGGTCACGTGCTGTCAGCTTGGCTGGCATGCCATCAATGATTGGAAAAAAGCAGGCGTTGTGACAAAATTCAGAGAGAAAGTACAAGCCGCGAATGGAGGAGATGTTTTTTGGACATTTCACTGTATTTTGCACCAGGAGGCATTGTGTTGCAAGTCATTAAAAATGGATCATGTCATGGAGGTGGTTGTCCGAACTGTTAATTTTATCTGAACCAGAGGTCTGAATCATCGTCAGTTTGACTGCCTTCTTAGCAGTGGCGAATTACTCCCCGGGCGAGACCCCCCTCTGAGTGCAGTGTTGTGGCTAGTGAATTGCATTGCTCTGCCAGCTCCTCATCTGCAAGACTTGGGAAATTTGTCAAAACCCCAAATTTGTTTTCCACATTTTCCATTGTAGTAAACCTCTCCCTGATGGCTGACATGGCTGCATCAACAACAACATTGAAGAATCCAACCTCCAGCTTCCTAAGGGCATCACTGAAAGGCTCATCATGTGATTCATATGAGAAGTGG